ACTGGAGTGCAGTGGCCGCTCCCGGCCACCGCAGCCTCGACCTGCTGTGCTCTGGTGATGATCCTTCCGCCTCAGCCTTCCTACAGGTGTGCGCTACCACACCCGGCTAATTTTTTTTTTATTTGTTGTAGAGATGAGGTCTCACCAACTTGCCCGGGCGGGTCTCGAACCTGCAGGCTCAGGCAATCCACTCACCTCAGCCTCCCAAGGCACAGGATTACAGGCTGAGCCACCGAGCCTGGCTAAAGAGTGATATTATTAATGCCTTGGCTTCCTTAAGCTGCCAGCAAAGACAGGGTGGCACAATGTACTCACATCATCTGAGTGAGACTCTTCTTCCTCTTCCTTTTCCCTTTCCTCCTCAGGCTCTCTATCAGGACTGGCTGGTATATCTGCCAAGCAGGTTCCCTGGGGTATTTCCTCACCCTCGCCTGTGTACACAAGCTCTTCCTGCTCTACCGTCTCTGAGTCCTCGTACTTGAAGGGCACATTGCCATAGCGCCGGGAGGAACCTGTTTTGGGGAACTGGAGCTGCAGCTGGGTGATGATTCGAGGGGGTAGGCGGCAGGCCCGGATCAACTCCAAAAAGACCTGCAGGGGAGTCCCCACATTCCCATTGGGCATCAGCACTGGTGGGTTGAGCTCTGGCAGTTGCCTCAGGTCAGCCAGGGTGAAGGCTTCATTCTCGGCTTTCCGACTCTGCAGCTCTTTCCGTGTCTTGAAGGGAAAGGAGTCCAAATCTTGGGAAGGAGGGAGAAGAATGGATCACGAAACCAAGAAGCCTCCAGCAACACTTGAGTCAGAAACTGGACATGGTTTAAATCAGTTAGCCTAATGCTTCCTCCCTTTCAAACTTCTCTGGAGTTCCTTCTTCCCCTCTGACCAGAACCACCTAGCAGTTTCTTGACATTTCTCATTACCTCAGCTGGACACACAAGTTTTTTCCAGATCTGGTTCCTGTTGACCTTTTTTTTTTTTGGTTTTTGCACAGGCTGGAGTGCAGTGGTGGCATGGTCACAGCTCACTACAACCTCGATCTCCTGGGCTCAGGCAATCTTTCCCTCAGCCTCCCAAACAGCATAGACTATAGGCATGTGCCATGCCCAATTAATTTGTGTTTTTTTTTTTTTTTTGTGGAGACAGGGTCTCACTGTGTTGCCTAGGCTGGTCTTGAATGCCTGGGCTCAAGCTATCCTCTCACTTCAACCTCCCAAAGTGCTGGGATTATAGGTGTGAACCACTGCACCTGGTCATGCTCACCTGTTGATTCTCAACTGTCACCAACTCCCACCTTCTGCATGTGCAACAGCCACACCAAACAATTTAACATGCTCTGATAATTTCACAGGCTTTCAAATCTTAACACCATTCTTCCTTACAAACTTCTATTTATTATTCAAGATCCAGATGAAAAGCCACATTTCCTGACTGATCTAAGAAGTCAGTTTCCACCTTCTCTGACATCTCATAGCATGTAGTGATAAAGCATAGACTCTGGAGCAGAATGTCTGGATTTGTACTGTCTCTAACACTGACTAGCTCTGTTACCTTTGGCAGGTCACATAAACCTTCAGATTAATTACCTATAATATGAGAGAGTAACAATAGCTCCTATCTCAGAGGATTGTTGTGAAGTGTCAGTAAGAAAACAAAAGGCTTAACAAGGGTACCTGAACAATGAACATTTGCATACCTAACCCTGAATTGTACCCCACATCTTTAAAATAAAAAATTTAAAAGTTAAAAAAAAGGTTTAAGCCGGGCTCGGTGGCTCAGCCTGTAATCCTGCGTCTTTGGGAGCCTGAGGTGAGTGGACTGCCTGAGCCCACGGGTTCGAGACCCGCCTGGGCAACTTGGCGAGACCACCTCTCTACAATAAATCAAAAAATTATCCGGGTGTGGTAGCGCGCGCCTGTAGTTCCAGCTACTTGGAAGGCTGAGGTGGAAGGATCGCCGGAGCCCAGCAGGTTGAGGCTGCGGTGGCCGGGAACGGCCACTGCACTCCAGTCTGGGCGACAGAGTGAGACTCCAACTCAAAAAAAAAAAAGACTGAGGCAGGATGGCCTGAGCCCAGCAGGTCAAGGCTGCGGTGGCCTTGAGGGTGTCACTGCACTCCAGCCTGGGTGACAGAGTGAGACTCCAACTCAAAAATAATAATAAAGCCGGGCTCGGTGGCTCAGCCTGTAATCCTGCGCTTTGGGAGGCTGAGGTGAGTGGATTGCCTGAGCCCACGGGTTCCAGACTCGCGTGGGCAACTTGGTGAGACCTCATTTCTACAATAAATCAAAAAATTAGCCAGGCGTGGTAGTGTGCGCCTGTAGTTCCAACTACTTGGAAGGCTGAGGCGGAAGGATCGCCGGAGCCCAGCGGGTCGAGGCTGCGGTGGCTGGGAGCGGCCACTGCACTCCAGTCTGGGCAACGGAGTGAGACTCCAACTCAAAAAAAAAAATTATAATAATAATGATGCCTAGTAAGAACATAGAGACATAGAGTATGCTCAGTAAATGCTAATAATTAGCATGACATCTCTGTGACAATGCTCTGTGGGTTCTGAGCATAGAGTGTCCAACAGTTCTCTGCATACCCAGCTAGAGTCTAGCAATATTAGCACTTGTTGAATGAATAAATTAGGGGGTGCTGCACTGTTTCCCTTATCTCCATCAAAGTGATTTCCCAATGAAAATGGGGGCTGTCCAGAGAAAACAGATTGTCTCCTGATTTGCATCTGAGAGGACTGGGTGAGGAGCACAAAAAAAGTGCAAGAGAGAAAGACAATAAAAGGGTTAGAAACATGATTTCCTTTTATCCTTCTGTGTCAGTGCAAAATCAACACATACAATAGAGGGTCTCAGAAGCGACCTAATAAAATGGAAGATCATTCGGACAGGCTTCTCCAGTGTTTTTTTTCCCCCTGCGTTAAACTAACGTGCAAGTTGATCCTGATGTTCTGCCCAGAAACCACCTAAACTCTAAAGAGTCGTAACCAGAGGTCTGACTAATTCTCACCACCCCTTAGGAAAAGTGCCTCTGTTCCAGGGCCCACAGGCTCAGTCTCTTTAACTTTCTCACTCTTACCTGATGTCTCAGTTGGTAGCCGAAGTCTGCGGATGAGACAGCGACCCGGCAACCAAGTCCCCTGAGAATCCAGCCACCGGCGGCCCGAATACATGCGAAGAAGTCTCTGGGCTTGAGCCATCCCTCGTACCGAGATGACACAGCAGCAGGTGCGGGTCTTGACCGGAGCAGAGTCTCGAGTGGAGAGAGCCCGGGCGTGGGTGGCCGAAGTCTGGGCGTGAAGCTGCCCCTCAGCGGCAGAGCAGGTAGGAGTTACAAAAGAGTAGGGAGCGGCCTGGGAAGGGGCCAGTTCAGGCCGATGCCGGTAGTGGAAACAGAGGAAACCACCTCCACGCTGTTCCCGGAACTGGCTAAAGTAGCTCCGTAACTGGGCCGAGCGCAAACCGCAGGGGATACCACTCACTACCAGGTAAACTGCCGCCACCTCCTCCGCCTCGGTGGATACCGCCATCTTGGACTGTCACATGATCGGCTGGAACCAACTATCGCGAGAATATCGCCAGCCGCGCTCAAGTGTCTGCGTTGCGAGATTGTCAAATTCGTGACTAATCTGTTGGATTTAGGTTTTGGAAACCGCAACTTCTGATCAACCGGGAAAACTCGTCTGAGTTTAAAATGCACTTGAAAAATGGAGTTATGGCCAGGTTCGGTGGCTCAGCCTGTAATCCCAGCACTTTGGGAGGCCGAGGCGAGAGGATTGCCTAAGCCCACGGGTTCAAGACCCACCCGGGCAATTTGGCGAGACCGCGTCTCTACAATAAGTCAAAAATTAACCGGGCGTGGTGGCGCGCGCCTGTAGTTCCGGCTACTTGGAAGGCTGAGGCGGAAGGATCGCTGGAGCCCAGCAGTGCCACTGCACTCCAGCCTGGGTGACAGAGAGAGACTATGTCTCAAAAAAAAAAGAAAGAAAGAAAGAAAAGAAAAGAAAAGAAAAATGGGGTTATGACTTTCATAAAGCCTCACGAGGATCAAACAGAAAGCCTGTGGTAGGGGTCATTGTAAAGATATTTAGTTGCAGTGGATCTTTCAAATTTAATCTGTCTTCTCTATTAATACTTTTTCAGTCGTTCTTACATTTATTCTTCCAAAACATATTGATGAACTCTCACAAATCAGTAAGAAAAAGATAGACCAGTAGAAAAATGAACCAAAAAATACGTTTCAAAAGAGGAAACACCCATGTCCAATTTACAATGAAAGGTACTATAGCTGCTGGTCGGGCTCAGTGCCTCATGCCTGTAATCCCAGCATTTTGGGAGGTCGAGGCAGGAGGCTTGAGTTTAGGAGGTTGAGACCAGCCTGGGTACATAACAAGAACTCGTCTTTACAAAAAATAAAAAAAAAATAGCTGGGCATGGTGGGGTGCGCCTGTAGTCCCAGTTACTTGGGAAACTGAAGCGAAAGAATTGCTTGAGCCCAGGAAGTCGCTGAGGTGGGCCATGATCTTACCACTGCACTCCATCCTGGGTGATAGAATGAGACCCCGAATCAAAAAAATTAAAAGTAAAAAGCATAAAATATTTGTGAAGTATAACGAATAACAATACAATAAGGCCTTGTTATTGTTTCATAGATCATTATTACCATCAACTCTGTAGTTCCTTCCTGGATCTATCATTTCCCCCCAAAAGTAGTGACTACCATGAATTTCAAATTAATTTGCTTTTCTTTCTGATTTTAAAGTAATCTTATTTGCATAACCCTAAAATGTTTTTTAGTTTTATTTTTGGAAACTTAAATAAAAGGAATAATTCTGTTTTCTGACTTGCTTTACTTGAGATTAATTAGTACAAAATGCTCTTACAAATACTGCAGCTATGAATATTCATATACACTGTGAAATAAAACACAAATCTGGACTTGGCAAGGAGAGACTTTATTTGAAAGGATTATTGCAGGGGAAGAAAGGAAATACTGCAATATAGGAAGGAGTTTTGCAGTGGGGAGAACCCTCTAACCATAAGATCTGCAGATATCTCAAGAGTTAGGAAAAAAGGTTTTTCTTCCATAGAGAGGAGTAAACAAGGCTAGGATAAAACTGGGCAGGGATAAGTGGAAAGACTAGAAATGGCATGATGGAACAGCAGATCAGAAGTTTTACCCTGAAGCCAGCCCAATCTCAGGAGGGGCTGTTAGGAGGAACTGTGTACTAGCTCAAGCTGAGGGTAAGCCAAAGTTCAGGAACCTAAGGGAAGGAAAGGATTTTAACCAAAGCTTATTCTTCCAATTGTTCAGTAGGGACAAGAAGTTCACTTAACACTTAAAATTTTTTTGTTTTGTTTTAATTGAAGTTTCACTCTGTGGTTCAGGCTGGAGTGCAGTGACATGAGTATGGCAGCCTTGACCCCCTGGACTCAGACAATCCTTCCACCTCAGCCTCCAGAGTAACCAGAATTATAGGTATATACTACCATTCCCAGATAATTATTTGAATTTTTTGTAGAGACGAAGTCTCACTATGTTGCCTGGACTTGTCTCCAACTCCTGAACTCAAGCAATCCTCCTGCCCTGGCCTCCCAAAGTGCTGGGATTACAGGTGTGAGTCACCACATCCAGCCACATATATTTTATGAATCTTATTTTGTTTTACTCAATATTTAATTTAAAAAATATTAAAAAAGGAAATAACTCATTTCAGAAAGCAATAAAGCAAGTGGTTACCCTGCGATGATCACAAATATGCAACTATATGATGAATTTAAAAAACCAGATCTAATGTGTGTTTAGGTAATTGTAGATAGGGACGATGTCATATCTAGATTTTATTTTAGTTTGTTCATTTTTTGAGTCAGAGTTTCACTCTCTTATCCAAGTTGGAGTTTAGTGGCATGATCACAGCTCACCCCAACCTCGACCTACTGGACTCAGACGATCATCTTCTTTCTCCACCTCCCAAATAGCTGAGACTGCAGGCATGCACTACCATGCCTGGCTAATTGTTTTGATTTTTTTTGTAGAGAGAAAGTCTTGCTGTGTTGCTCAAGCTGGTCTTGAACTCCTGGGCTCAAGCAATCCTTCCACCTCAATCTCCCAAAGTGCTGGGATTACGTTATGAGCCACCGGGCCAGACCATTCATCTGGGTTCAAATCTTGACTCTGCCATTTATTATCTGTGTAACGTTAAGTACATTACTTAATCTCTCTGTACTCCTACTCTGTAGAGGAGTGAGAGCTCAACTCCAATTCTCTTTAGCGCGTATGTGAGCTCTTCCAATGAATCTGTAAACTAAATTGTCACAAGGCAGATTAACCAGAGAAAGGCATACACATTTTATCAGTTTTACATGTACATGGGGATCTTCACAAGGGAGTGAAGTCTGAAGATGTGGCCAAAGCAAGATTTTTTTTACACTTTTCAGACAAGGCACAATAAATTTGGGAAGTGGCAAATGAGATCTGGTTAGGGGCAGTAAATTTCTTATTTTTTCTTTCTTTCTTTTTTTTTTTTTGAGTCAGTGTCTCACTCTGTCGCCCAGGCTAGAGTGCAGTGGCACGCTCACAGCCACCGCAGCCTCAGCCTGCTGGGCTCAGGTGATCCTTCCGCCTCAGCCTTCCAAGTAGCTGGGACTGCAGGTGTGTGCTACCACACCCAGTTAATTTTTTTACTTATTGTAGAGATGAGGAGGTCTCACCAAGTTGCCCAGGCTGGTCTGAACCCAGGGGCTCAGGCAATCCTCTCTTCTCGACTTTCCAATATGCTGGGATTATAGGCGCGAGCCACAGCGCCTGGCCAGGGGCAGTAAATTTCTAGGGGAGTCATTAGGAGATAGATGGGGGGCATGCAAAACTAGTGAAAGATAAGGATTACCTTGAGAAACATATTTATTCAGGCCCATTGCAGCCCCCAATTTTCGGTCTCTGGCAATAAGGGTTATTTTTTGCCCTGGTAAGGGGAGGATACCCCTCTCAGAAGAATGTTTATGGCTTGCTGTATGCAGAAAGAGACAAGTCTGCTAGCTGTTTCTGAAATTAAAATTTCTCCATTGTTTTCAACTTGAAATAATCAAGACCCCAATTCGACACATTTTGGGATGGCATGTCCTTCACTCCCTTCAGTTTCTTCATCTATAAAGTAGAGATAATGATAATATTTTCAGCACAGAGATGTTGTAAGAATTAAATAACATAATCTATGTAACATGTTTCGAGAACAGCTCTCAATAGATATTAGCTGGTTACTGTTTGGTAAGCTACCCAGAGTGAGTAGCTACAGCTTGGGATTTCCTGCTATACCCCGTCAGGAACAGGAGGTCTGTTTTGTTTGTTTGTTTGTTTGTTTTGTTTTGTTTTTGAGTCAGAGTCTCACTCTGTTGCCCAGGCTGGAGTGCAGTGGCATACTCACGGCCACTGCACCTTCAACCTGCTGGGCTCAGGTGATCCTTCCACTCCACCACACTCGGCTAATATATATATATATATATTTTGTAGAGATGGGGTCTCGCCATTTTGCCCAGGCTGGTCTCAAGCCCCTGGGCTCAAGCAATCCTCTCGCCTCTGCCTTCCATGAGCCACCACACCTGGCTAGGAGGTCCCCTTTGTTAACCCTGACTCCCCTGAGACATTAGTCTTGCTGCTCTATCAGTTTCACCGCGATATCCTTTCTCTGTTGTCTTTTTCTGTGATGTGGTCCCTGTTACCTCTCTAGGTCCATGTCCTAATGCTCCGCCCCCCGCCATGCCCCAGACTACTTGCAGTTAGCTGAGCTCCCCTTGCTCTGTGACACCTCTGTGACTTTGCATATATCATTTCCTCTGTTTGGACTGCCCATCCCTTGGTTTGCCTAGCAAACTCCTATTCATCTCTTTAGCTCAAACCAAGGGTCACTTGGATGGGGCATTTTTCCCACCTCCAGGCAGATTTAATCACCCCTGTTGCCTCTTGTATGTTCTTCTATCACAGTTCAGATCTCTCTGGGTTACAATTATTTATGTGTTTTCCTTTGCCACAGGTAGGATGTTTCATGAGAGAAGAGAATGTACCTTGTTTATTCTGTGCTCTCTGCCCCAAGCAGCTGGCACAGGATCTGGTACAAGTTGAAGTCAAGAGGTGTTGAGTGATGGAATAAATGGATGGATGGATAGTGGGTGTTGGCTTTTTGCTGGCACCACAGGCTCTAGGATATTTAAACGCCCCAAGGACAGGGTGGGTCAGTACAGGCTACAGTATGCATCAGCTGCCTAATTGCTTAATAAGCAGTCAATGCTTTGGCTAATGAAGATAGAGATAATCACGGCAATAAAATGGTACCCTAGGCTGACCCAGAGCCACAGCCACTCCCCTGTTTTCCAGTGTGTCCTCCCTGGCTGGTCCTGAGGACAGGGATCATGGCTAAGAGATAGATGGTCAGTAAACTGTGACTGAGCTGGGTCCAGACAGTCTGATTCTTGTACTAGTGGTGAAAACTCTCCAGAGTCTTACAAGTCTGAGCTCAAATCTCAGCACAGACAGTTATCAGCCCAGAGCTTCAGTAAGTTACATACCTGTTTGAGCCTCTTCTACGTCCTGGAAATAAGACAAAAGTTTCACCCCAGAATACTGATAATGAAGATGGGAGTTCCACACCTTTAGAAAGCCTGCAGTCTCATGGAGAGAGCATTATTGCCCTTATTACATTATACCATAATTATCTCTTTAGTTTTGCCATATTTGTCTTTATGTTTCTTGCAAAAAGTTTGGAAGTAGGGTACAGAGAATGACTCAAAAAATACGGACAAGAAACAGACAAAAGCTCCTCAGTCATGTGAAAGGGAAAGGAAGAAATTTGAAAAGATTAAGGTAGAGCTGGGTTCGGTGGCTCAGCCTGTAATTCCGCACCTTTGGGTGGCTGAGGTGAGTGGATTGCCTGAGCCCGCAGGTTCGAGACCTGCCTGAGCAGCAAGACCTCATCTCTACAATAAATAAAAAAATCAGCCGGGCGTGG